AAAAAAAAAGGGGGTCAGCTCTAAAGAGAGTTACTTAGGTTTGTATCTCAGTCTCGCCACCCTCTTGCAATTTAGATAACATCTAGTGGCCTGAGTTTCCTCATCTATAAAATGACTATTAATAATAACAGTAGCTATTGGTCCATAGGGTTGCTATCAGGATAAAATGTTAAAGTATGAATTTTTCCGCAGTTATTTTGGATAAATATACAGCACCGGGTACTCACAAGGGGTCGCTGTAAGTCAGCATTGACTCGATGGCATCGCGTTTGGTTTGATTTCATTATTTATTTTAATTACTTGGTTTTTTTACACCCCTTTCAGTTTTGTACTCTAGGTGAGAATCTTGTCTCACCGTATTCCCCAGCTTGCCCACACTCTATGTGCTTCACATGTAATCAGAGTTCGATAAATATTTTTTAAATGTACTTATCTCTGTATTTTTTAATGAAGGTGTATTATGCTCAGGACAGTGAATTTTGAGGTCCTACTGAGCTCCCTAATTGCTCAGAACCTTATGCTAAGGAATAGAGAGCATTTTCCCTTTTCCAGTTCAGGTACGCACAAAGGTCTTTGTTTTATAACTTACTCCCTCCCTTCCTACTTTCCATTTTTCCCCAAGGGAGCCCGGCTGAGTCTAATTTCGTCACAATCTTCTCTCAGTCCTATCAGTTCCAAGAAATTCTCGACACAAAAACATCTCCGGGTCTTCGAACTTGAAAAAAATAAATATTTTCCTAGAAGACTGGCTGTGACGTCAAGAGCCCTGATTGCCTCAGGGAAATGCTCCAAACAAGGACACCGGCTTCCCGCCCGCAACACGCCGTCTGCGCATGCTCGTCAGCTGGCGCGGCGCCCGGCGCCCGGCGGCTTCTCGGCACCCGTACTTCAGAGGCGGGGCTTCCGCTCGGGGCGGGGCTTCCGCTCCGGCCGGAGCTGAAGGAGGCTGGACGTGGTGGCGCTCGCCCGCGGTCGGGGTCTAATTGGTGCCAAAGTTGAAAGGTTATGTGGTGCGCGGGTGATGTACGAGTAATTTCTGATTTTGCGAGAAGAGGCAACATGCGTTAAAGTCATTTTTAGTGTGAGTGCATGTGTCCTCGAAGCCGTTTTGTATTTCATTGCCATCGGGTCGATTCCGACCAAACCAGCATTTTATAAGGATTTCACTCCTCTGCCTGCCTCGCTTTAAAGGGGCTTTCAGGGTAGGGAGAAGGTGGAAGAAGGGGGAACCGATCGCGATGGTCGATGCATGATCCCCTGCCTGCCTAGGGGATGAACCACAGAAACGTGCGTGAAGAAGACAGCGGTCGGCGTAAGATATGAAAACAATAATTATAATTTATCAAGGGGTCACGAGGGGGAGAGGAAGGGAAAAAAGAGGAGCTGATACCAAGGGCGCAAATAGAAAGTAAATGTTTAAAAAATGATGATGACAACATATGTACAAATATGCTTGATACAATCAATTGATGTATGGAATGTTATAAGAGGTGTAAGAACTCTTATCATGTAAAAACTCGTGAAAATGATGTTTTTTTAAAAAATGCTTTGAGTGTGCCAAGAGGCAGAGCCTAGATTCTCCTGTGATCTGGGCTCCACTTGCTGTGTATATATGACCTCTCTCCGATGCTTTAAAAGTGAAAAAGAGATAAGGTTTCTGAAGTCACCTTTCAGTTCTTCAGAATTGTATTGTGTGTTCATTAGGCCATTTGAACCACAAAGCCTGAGTGCTAGATATTGGTAGTTCCCTTCAATAAGGAAGAAATTGAGTCGTAGGGTGAGAAAGTTCAGGACTTCCTCAAAATTGCACAGGTAACTTTTGGAGAATTGAGAACTTGACACTAGAAGAGGATGCAGTAACCCCACGACTAGCTCTCTTTTGCGTATCTGTGTGTCCTCTGTTCTGGAGGAGGACCTGGCCATCGAGCAGTTAAGCAAAATGTTTGAATGAATATTTTGTTGGTGTCTAGGTCAGTGACACAAGCTGATCTCTTCAGTCTCTGATGTTTCAAAAAGTCTAACCTTTCTCCAGGTGTACCCTGTGCTCTACCAGATTGAGTGTTTCCAGTCCATTTCTTTTGCCTTCAGCTTAATCAGACAGCCACCATGGAGGCCCCTCCAGTCACCATGATGCCTGTCACTGGGGGCACCATTAACATGATGGAGTACCTGCTTCAGGGTAAGTGAGCCAGAGAACTTGGGTGACCTGGCTTCCTCGTTTCTTTTTTAAAAAAATCATTTTATTGGGGGCTCATACAACTCTTATCACAATCTATACATACATCAATTGTGTAAAGCACATTTGTACATTCGTTGCCCTCATCATTCTCAAAACATTTGCTCTCTACTTAAGACCTTGGTATCAGCTACTCATTTTCCTCCCTCCCTCCCTGCTCCCCTTTAATAATTTATAAATTATTTTATCATATCTTACACTGTCCGACGTCTCCCTTCACCCACTTTTCTGTTGTCTGTCCCCCAGGGAGGAGGTTATATGTAGATCCCTGTAATTGGTTCCCCCTTTCCAACCCACCTTCCCTCCACCTTCCCGGTATCACACTCTCACCACTGGTCCTGTAGGGATCATCCGTCCTGGATTCCATGTGTTTCCACTTCCTATATGTACCTATGTATATCCTCTGGTCTAGCCAGATTTGTGAGGTAGAATTGGGATCATGATAGTGGGGGGAGGAGGAAGCATTTAGGAACTAGAGGAAAGTTGTATGTTTCATCATTGCTATACTGCACCCTGACTGGCTTGTCTCCTCCCCGTGACCCTTCTGTAAGGGGATGTCCAGTTGCCCACAGATGGGCTTTGGGTCCCCACTCCACACTGCCCCTCATTCACAATGATATGATTTTTTTGTTCTGATGATGCCTGATACATGATCCCTTCGACACCTCGTGATCACACAGGCTGGTGTGCTTTTTCCATGTGGACTTTGTTGTTTCTGAGCTAGATGACCGCTTGTTTACCTTCAAGCCTTTAAGACCCCAGATGCTATATTTTTTGATAGCTGGGCACCATCAGCTTTCTTCACCACATTTGCTTATGCACCCATTTGCCTTCAGTGATCGTGTCAGGGTGACTTCCACTTTTCTATTCTGCTTCCCTGGAGATGGGAAACTTATACAAAGCCAACCTACACAACTGCTGACACTCAGTAGATAACTATTTTTTGCTCAAACTTTTTCTTCTGGAAAATGTAAAATAGTCTGTCAGTTACCTATTGCTGCCATCACAAATTCCCCAGGGGTCTATCCTTAAAGAACAGAAATGTGTATTCTCCCGTTTCTGGAAACTAACAGTTCAAATCAGCCATGTTGAGCCTCCTAATAACTGGTGTCCGATTCCTGGTCTTGTCATTTCTTTGCTTGTAGACTGGTCCTCATATGTCATTTGTCTTCTCCCTGTGTGAATCTTTGTGTCTGCTTTTTTTATCACTCAAAAATGTATCAGTTTTAAGATATATCTTACTCCGGCCGTAGCTACATTAACATAACAAAAGAAAGCCTCTGTTTTCAAATCCAGTCACAATTTCAGGGACCAGGGTTAGAACTTCATCAACGATTTCTGAAGGACACAGTTAAATCCACAACATACAGCTCAGTGCTTATCCTCCAGGGCCACCAGGGCTCATGGTCTGCCCCTTAGATGGTACAATTTCTGTTGTACTACATACATTGTGTTATTACATGTCTGCCCATCACTCCATCTACAAACCATCCTGGGTGATGCATCTCAGTGTAAATTGATGGCCTCAGTATAATGCCCCGTAAATAGTTCAGCCTGTGTTAATTGTTATTTTCTTAAGTATAAATCTACATATCATGAAATGCATAACTCTTAAGTGGACCAACCCCACGATTTTGGTCAAAAGCATTTACCTGTGTAGCCCAAACCCTTTTTCAGTGTGCAAGCATCCCCACCAAGAAAGCTGTTTCATGCCCTTTCCTATGGGCCTCATCCTGATCCCATCCTTGCCGAGAAGCCACTGTTTGATTTTCTTTTCCAACATGCCTTTCCTCGTTCTAAAACATCCGAGTGAAATGCTTTGAATGTTCTCTTGTGTAAGGCTTCTTTCAGTTGGCATGTTTTTGAGAGTGACTCCAGGTGGACTCACCAGACCTTTCCCTGCTTCAGTGCCTTTCCGCTTGATGACTCCTCCCCTGGGATTACTTTTCTCCTAGCTCTTCAAGTGACCATCTCATTTTCACCCTTAGTGTCTCAGCTCAGTTGTCACTCCTTATAGAGAGGTCTCTCCCCGCTGCCCCGCCATAGACCTCTGTCTTCCCACTCCACCAGTTGTTGTGTGTCATGTTTAGTTCTTTCCCTTATCATTGTTCATTTCTTTATTGTTGCCTTCATTAAACCAGAATCTCTGTGAGAACAGGACCGCTTACTCTCCCGCACAATACCTGGCACATCATTAAATAACTATGTCCAGTGAACCAGAACTTACTAAACACCTCCAGTGATTGAGCACCGACAAACATGTCTGACACAGCCCTAAATACAGGATGCTATTCCCAGCTCCCAAAGATCTTCGGTCTTACTATTCAGCACTATTGTTTCAAAAATCCAGTTATCCCACTAATATATATATATATATATATATATTTTTTTTTTTTTTTTGAGACCCCTGGTAGTATAAGTAGACAGGCACTGAGCATTTGACTGCTAAGGGTTGGTGACTTATTTTATTTATTTATTTATAAATCATTTTATTGGGGCTCATACAATTCATCACAATCCATACATATATCCATTGTGAGGGTTGGTGATTTAAATCCACTTAGCGGTGCTATGGAAGAAAGGCCTGGCAAAGTATTTCTGTGAGATTATAGCCATTCCAAAAAAAAAGAAAGATTACAGCCATTTGAAAATGCTTTGGGTCACAGTTCTACGCTGAAATACTCATGGAGTTGCCATGCGTTGGAATTGACTCAACAACAATGGCTGTCAGGCTTTACCGTAACTATAACATACTTGGAGCCCAGGTGGCATAGTGATTATGAGTTGGGCTATGATCACAAGGTTGGTAATTGGATCACCTTCTCAAAAAAATACCTGTAACTAGCAAGTGTCTTCAGTTATGCTACTAAGAAGCATTCTAGATAAGATCTATATAAAATACCTGGTACACAGTAGATGCTAAAGAATGAGTAGCAGCTTTATTAAAACCAGCCGCTCCTTGGGAGAAAGACGGCACTTTCTACTCCTGCACACAGTTACCGGCTCAGAACCTCAGGGCAGCTCTTCCCTCTCCGATCAGGCCACTTTGAGCATGCATCGACTCAACGCAGTGAGTTTGTGTGATTTTGGTTTTGTATAAGATACTATTATTTATACCAGATGTGTTCCTAGTGTTGGAGTGCCAACAATGGAAGGAGAAAGATGACTAGAATTTTGAGGTGATGTGCTCTTTTATTTGGAGTAGTCAGAAAAGCCCTTGCTGCTAAAATGACATTTGAGCAGACCTGAAGAAAGTGATGGGTGAGCAGATGTCCAGATAGCCAAGGGGAGAACAGGACTCTGAAGAAGATGTGTGTTTGGTGTGAAGTTCACTGTGACCAGAGAAAGTAATCAAGGGGGTCAGTGGAAGGAGATGATGTAGGTGGCGGAGACCTGCCTAGTATGTAGGGCCTTGTTAACTGTAGTAAGGACTTTGAATTTATTCTGACGGACATGGGAAATAGGGAGCTGAGCAGAATGTTATCATCTGCCTTATTCATTAAAGCACTTGGTTGTTGTGTGGAGAATTGAGGAAGAAGACAAGGGTGGAAGCAGGCTAGTGAAGCCAAACCATAAAAGAAATAAAGGACATTTTTATCTAGGTGGAAGTGGTCAAATGAAGGAGAATTAGTTGGATTCTGTATCATTTATTTTGAAAATTTCACCTGAAAACAAAAAGAATTCAAAGATAATTCTGTGGCTTGGGACCTGGGCAGTTAGATGGGGAAAGATTACAGAAGAAATAAGTTTGTTAAATAGGAAAATAACAAGTTTGATTCTGAAAGTGTTACAAAGGAGGTGTCTGCTAGTCTCTGGTAAAGAAGTTGATGTATGAACTCACTGTTTGGGAGACAGATGTGGGAGATCCCGGGTATAGATGAGCTGTAAAGCCCGGGAATCAGGCTTTACAAGAAATAAAGGACATTTTTATCTAGGTGGAAGTGGTCAAATGAAGGAGAATTAGTTGGATTCTGTATCATTTATTTTGAAAGAGGAAGGGCCAGGACTGAGCCCAAGGGCCTCCACCATTTCGGGAAAATGAGCAAGAGCCAGCAAAGGAGACTCAGAAGAAATGGTCAGTGAATTAGGTGGTGAATCAAGGTAAATTTGTGTTCTAGAAACAAAGGAAAGATTTCAGAGCCAGTGTAGCCAACCAAGGGCCCCGGCAAGTTCGAAACCACCAACCCCTCTGTGGAAGAAAGAAGAGGCTTTCTACTCCCTTAAAGAGTGGTAGCCTCAGAAACCACAGGAGCGGTCCCACCTTGTCTCATAGGGTCACTGTGGGTCGGAAGTGACTCAATGGCAGTGGGTTTTATTTGTGTGTGTGTGTGTGTGTGTTTTACATTTTAAGTCAACTCTAACAACTATACCCCGTGCTGCCAAACAGATGACTAAAATGAGGACTAAGAATTACTTTATGTATATTTTTTAAGTCATTGATCTTTTATTTGATTATTACATGAACTATATTTTATAAATGGAAATGCTTTCTTTGCTGGAAATAGACAAAATTATTAAACTAGAGTGACAACAAGCTCCTATGAATACATTTTAGAAAGAGACTGTTGCATGTTAAGAGAGCTGAGCCCCAAGGCCTGCTGGAGCGTCACTAGTGTGAGACCCCTGCTGTCAACTAAGAACTGTAGGGTCTTCTGAACTTTCTCACAATGTTGTAGTAATACCCCTAAAATTTCGTGTGTTGGGCCTTTTGCTTCATAAAACCGTGGCGTCTTTCATGCAGGTCTCTGAACCTTGTGTTAATTGTACAAACCCAACTGAAACCTGGGCGTCAATGGTGCTTTTTTCCCTCCTCAGGAAGCGTTTTAGATCACAGCTTGGAAAGCCTCATCCACCGCCTTCGAGGCTTATGTGACAACATGGAACCCGAGACTTTCCTGGACCATGAGATGGTGTTCCTCCTTAAGGGCCAGCAGGCCAGCCCGTTTGTTCTAAGGGCCCGGCGCTCTATGGATAGGGCAGGGACACCCTGGCACCTGCGCTACCTGGGACAGCCAGAAATGGGAGACAAGAATCGCCACGCCCTGGTACGAAACTGCGTGGATATCGCCACGTCTGAGAACCTCACTGACTTTCTGATGGAAATGGGCTTCCGCATGGACCACGAGTTTGTTGCCAAGGGACACTTGTTCCGTAAGGGCATCATGAAGGTGATGGTGTATAAGATCTTCCGCATCCTGGTGCCAGGAAACACAGACAGCATTGAGGCCTTATCCCTCTCTTACCTTGTGGAGCTAAGTATCGTTGCACCAGCGGGCCAGGACATGGTCTCTGACGACATGAGGAACTTTGCCGAGCAGCTGAAACCTCTGGTCCACCTGGAAAAGATAGACCCCAAAAGGCTCATGTGACTAAGAGGGACGGTCCACCAATGGGGCCTGCCCTCGCATGTCACAAACAAGAAGGCGTTCTAAGTGCCCTCACTTCCCCTCAGCCCTCCAGACGCCCTTCCCTCCGGAAGAAGGACAGTGAGAACATGCTTCTTGGTTCTGTCTCTTTGTGTGATGATTTCATGTTTGTGATAAGCCTTTTTGTTTATTAACTTTTTATTGTGAATTGGGTGACGGTTCACAATGCAAATCAGTTTTCCATTCAGTAATTTGTACACGTTTCATGTCATTGATTGTAGTTCCCACAACTTAACATTGCTCATTCTATTTCTACCCTGTGTTTCCCTTTTCTCTTCCTCCTCCTCTCCTAACCCTCCCTTCCTTCGGAACTTTGTCCTGAGGTAGATGCTCTCCTTTTCATCCTGAATGGTTGATTGTTCTAAGGAGTGCATACCTCCCTAATGTCATCGTCCCCTTCTGAGACCTGTCTAAGCCTGCAAGGTGACTAAGAGCCAAGTCTCTGGACATGACAGCCATCTTCAGTGAAATGCTCAGGATTACGCAAGAATCTGTCTTTTACCTCCCACACAAAGAGGTGAGACTGGAATAAATTGCTTTTTTTTTGGGGGGGGGTGATTTCTTAATTATTGCCATTTGTGTATAAAATTTGAAATGTAGAAGCTGTGAGCTTCAATGGTAATAAAGGCTAAGAAGAGAAATGTCTGTGTAATTCTGATTATTAACCTGATGTTTTTAATTTTGACAGAGAAAATAGCTTTTACCTTTCCTAAAAGTCATATAGTTTTCTTTAAAATAGGGACAATTTTTTCTTTCAACTCTAGCTGTGTTAGAATGGCACAAGTGCTTAAGAGCCAAACGGCTAACGGAAAGGTTGGTGGTTTGAGTCCACCCAGAGGCCCCTCAGAAGAAACTCTTGGCACTAACACTTCTCAAGCATCAGCCACTGAAGACGCTGCAGGCTCAGTCAGCCAGAAAGGACAGATTCTGTACATGGCTGCTGTTATTAAAAGTCAAGAAAAAGTGTACACACACAAATAAATACAAGGGAGTACCCGCCTCCCAAAACCAGCATTCCCACCCCCCCAAAGCTATGGATTAAAATATTTGTTACAAAACAACCTTATCACCTTCAGAGTACTCTCCATTACACTGAATACATTTGTCGAATCTGCAATTCCATTCTTGGGAAACATTTTTCAAACTCATTTTTGGATGGCTGATATCACCTCCCTCGTTTTTTTCTTCACCTGTGTCATCAAATCACTATCCTTTCAGGTTCCTCTTCATTCACAGAAACAAAAAGAAGTCACACAGGAGCGAGGTCAGGTGAGTAAGGTATGTGGGGCAAGAGAAGCATGCTGTTTTTTGTCCAAAACTGGCACACTGAGATGGCTACGTGAGCAGGTGCATTGTCGTGGTGGCAAAATCAGTCCCCAAATCAGGCCTTTTTTATTGCACACTGTTTCGCAATCTTTTCAGAACCTCTAAATAGAAAGCTTTATTAACGGTCTGACCTAGTGGAATGAGTTCCAAATGCACTATACCACTCATATACAAAAAACATCCAGTTTTTTGGGTGGGTACCCCTCATATTCTTTGGTAGTTCCCAAGGATGTGGAGGGAAGGAAGGGCAGGGCGCTGTGAATTAGTGTGGCCTATAGACACTCCACGAAATGATTGTTTTTAACAGTTTTACTGGCACTTTGTCCACATATCATAAAAGTCAATAGTTCAGTCATGTCAATAAATATTGTACAATCACTACCAGTAAATTTTAGAACATTTTCTTGTTCCTTGTACTCATTATTAGTGTAATTTTTAAAATTGTGTCAAAAATATACACAACAAAACATTCTCCAAATCAATATCTTTGACATCAGTGGTTCTCAACCTTCCTAATGCCGAGACCCTTTAATACAGTTCCTCATGTTGTGATGACCCCAACCATTACATTATTTTCGTTGCTACTTCATAACTAATTTTACTACTGTTATGAATCATAATAATGTAAATATCTGATATGCAGGATGTATTTCCATTGTTATAAATTGAACATAATTAAAGCATAGTGATTCATCACAAAATAATATATAATTGTGAAATATTTATTTCTAATTACAAATAAATGAAATTTGTCTTGAAGCATGGTGTAGCGTGGATAACAGTCTTTACACTGGGTACTCATATATGGGCGTATCTGCATGTGGGCATACCTGCCTGGAGACAGATAAAGGAGCGGTATCTCATTTCCTAAGACCATCGGAAATATGTTTTCCAATGGTCTTAGGCAACCTCTGTGAAAGGGTCATTTGACCCCCAAAGGGATCTCGACCCACAGGATGAGAACCGCTGTTCTACATGTATAATCCAGTGCTATTGATTATACTCTGTTGTGCAATCATTATTGATAACCTTTTCCAAATTATTCCAGTACCGGTGACATAAACTCAGGGCCCTCTAACAAGATGATTGAGTTTTTGTGAGGTGCTGTCATGCCAGTTCCGTACAACAGAACAAAGCACACTGCCATTCTCACAAATGCTGCTGGCCTTGAGCTGCTTTTTGGAACCATGCGTCAGTTCATCTTGTTGATCTTTTTCACGGTCCCTCCACCAAGCATGATGTCTTTTTCCCAGGACTGGTCCCTCCTGATGTTCTGGTTAGATGTCACTGAGTCGGTCCCAACTCAAAGCGCTAGCTATCCTTTGTACAGCAGAACGGAACACGGCCCAGTCCTGTGTCATCTTCACCATCGTTCTTATGCTGGACACCATTGTCGCAGCCACTGCGTCGATCCACCTCCTTGAGGGCATTGCCCTCTTTGACGCCCCTTCTACCAAGCTTGTCCTCCAGGGACTGAGCTCTCCTAACAACGTGTTCCAAGTATGTAAGACAGAGTCTCACATGTCAAAGGACATGTTCAAAACAGACCTGCACGTTCTGACGGTGTGTGATGTACTTATTCAGTACTCTGCCAGCACCATAATCCAAATACATCAATTCACCTCTGGTCTTCCTTGTTCAGTATCCAGTGCTCACATGCATACGTGGTGGTTTAAAACACCACAAAGTGAAACCTTTGCTCTTTTAACACGTTCGCAGAGGTCTTTTGCAGCAGATTTGCCCAATGTTATACAACATTTGACTTTCTGACTCCTGTTCCCAGGAGTGTTGATTATGGATCCAAATAAAATGAAATCCTTGTCAACTTCAACATTTTCCGTTTATCATGATGTCGCTTATTGATCCAATAGTGAGGATTTTTGTTTTCTTTATATTAGGGGAGAATCCATACAGAAGGCTGTATTTGATTTTCATCAGTAAGTGTTTCAAGCCCTCTTTACTTTCAGTGAAGTGTCATCTGCATGTTATGGATTATTAACTCATCTTCCTCCAGTCCAGGTGCTACATTCTCCATATAGTCCAGTTCCTCATATTGAATAAGTATGAGTATGGTAAAAGGATACAACCCCATCCCACATGTTCCCTGATTTCCAACCCTGCAGTATCCACTTTCTTGTTCAAACAACTGCCTCTTGGTTTATGTATAAGTTCTGCATGAGAACAACGAAATGTTCTGGGATTCCCATTCTTCTCGGTTGTATAGGGTTTGTCATGATGATCCACACATCAAATGCCTTCTTCACTAATACACAAATATCGTTTCTGATATTCTCTACTTTCAGCCAAATGCCATCTGCTGTCAGCAGTGTTATCCCTCTGAATCTGACTTGGCTTTCTGTCAGCATCCTGGTGACGTACTACTGCAATGTTTTTTTGGTTTTTTTTTTCATGGTAGCATGCTCACCTCCTGGATGACCATGGCCTCACCAGCCAGGTCCACGCACAGCATGGCGGGCAGAGAGGGCAGGAGAGAGAGCAATTTATTTCTAATCAAGGCTTATATATCTTTGGGGGTCGTGTAAGCCCCCTAACTACAGGTAAAGACATATGTCACAGGAAGGGGTTGTACAATAGGCATAAGTGTGACAGGAAGGGGCGCAATGATTTTTTAAGTATGTTCAGCAAAGCTTTACTTCCATATGATACTGTTTGGTAATTTACTCTTTCTGTTGGGTCACTCCTTTGGCATGGGCACAAATATAAATAGATCTCTTCCAGTCTGTTGGCCAAGTAAGCTGCCTTCCAAATTTCTTGGCCTAGATGAGTGAGTGCTTCCAATACTATATCAGTTTCCATCGGTATTCCATCAACTCCTGGAGCTTTTTTTCGTCTATGCCATCAATGCAGCTTGGACTAATTCCTTCAATATCATCAGATGCAATATTGAAGGATTCTACGGGGAAAATATTAGACAGTGCAAGAAGCATCAAAAGAAGATAGAAAAAATACACAAAGTCATGGTACCAAAAATAATTGGTCAACATTCAACCATTTCAAGAGGTAGCATATGATCAAGAACCAATGCTAATCGACTGAGTAGGCCCATGCAAATGTGAACTTGGATAGCTTGCTCCTAATACAAAATACATGGCGTGCTTGATGTGAGACCCTAATGTAAGAATTAGTCAGTTTTGCCATCCCACTGGGCTTAAAATGAGTCATTCCAGAGTTGGAAAGGGGCATCTCACTACCATCAAGAAAGAAGAATCAGTAGTAGAGAGAGTGTATCCCTGGAGCTGAGATCCCGGAACTGAACCTCCTCAATCCAGGAGACAGCTATGACACTGGAGACCGTGAGACAGAACGAGTATGAGAGTACTAGAGAAGCAGTACTGGGAGACAGAGCGGAGATGGTGTGGTGGGCTTTCTGGCACACAGAGTGAGGAAGCTGAGTGCCCTAAGGCAGGAATCATTGTGGCAGCCTGGGGTGGCTTCAGGCATTTACTAGGGTGCTACATTTGCTGACCAGTGTGCTAGAGCTTAGTGCTTTGGGGGTGAGGCTTATTGGTGGAGCGTAGTACCTCTGAGCACAAATCAACAGAGCTAGATGCGCTTTATAGCACTTTCCCAAATAGGGCAGAGGCCAAGGCACTTCAGAGTCTGCGAGTGCCTGCAGTCACCGCTGAAAGGAGACTGCCCTGATCAAAGAACTACACCCTGACTTCCTGAACCTGAATCATAGCACGTTAACTGCTCTCTAACTGTGAGTACTGTGTGTAAATTCTGCATGGTCATTGCGATGTCTTTTTTAATCCAGCACAGAAAGAGTACCATGCAAGGGATGGCTGGTGTCAGAATGGATAGAAAGATTGGAGGGTGGAGGCCTGCCTTAGCTCTGCCTCCTGGGGATCCGCCTTGGGCTGATGCTGATCTTGATCCTGCTCTGTCCCCTGCGCAGTGAGAGGACATCAGATGCCACCCAGCCACCATTTTACAGAGGATATATCCCTAGCTAGAGAGTAACCACCTAGTAAAGGGGATGAGTGGAAAGGCAATAGATGAGTCTAGTAAGGGGGAGGGCAGCACAGCATGACCAAATGACAAAGGAAACTACGGAGGGTGCACAGAGTGAAAGACAACAAAGTCAACACTCGGTAATAGTGATGACCTCTGGCGCAGAGCCATAGGTGGATATGCAGGCTGAACAGAGGATCCCAGGAAGGTGAATGGCAGTGCGCTCACAAGTGTGTGTCAGCTTGGCAGAGGCTATTTCTACACATGCATTTGTGCAGTGAATCAAAGAGTATTGCTATAAAATCATAGAGACCTTTAGTAAGACAAAAATGTTGAAATG